GCGAGAATATCGAGAATAACTTTGCTTGTAATCGGATTAATTAAACGCGCGATGGTGGTTCATCGAAATGCGAAGTAGTCAGCGGACATAAACGAAAGCCGATCTGGTTTCTCTCGTTGCTTCGCAGCGAAATTTGCTCGCAAGGTACTGTGCCGTGCATAAAAGCCCTTACTTTCCCAGCGATCAATTATACAAAGCGCTTAGCGAATTAAGCTTGGCGAATTTTTGGCGAATAAGATGCACAAGAAATGGTTACATTAATTAACATTAATCGCACGGTTGAACGCGAAACGGAAAATTTATCTCGTTAATATCTTACCTTGTTAATATTCCTCTTTGCGTGGTCTCTCTTGATTTAATCGTACATTCTCTTCTTCTCGTAGAACTGATATTAACACAAGTGAAGAAACCGCTAAACAGGTTTAATTAAGCCGGCATTCATTTAGTTCTTGACGCAACATAATGAAGAAAGTAAAACATAGTTAAGAATATAATGAAAAAAGAATTCATTGTCTTTTTCAGACAAGAAAAACATTATTTTTTTATTCTTATGTTTATTTCAAGAATTCAGCATTATAATATTATGATTTTCAATATCGATGACATATGTTTGAAATTAATGACTGAAATATTTTTACTGATCAGATTTAAATTTAGATTCTCCTTGGATTGTTATTGCTGTCGATATTATTAATTATTGAAGCTTCGCACAGTTTTATATTTAACTTAAGGAAATGTGCTATATGTATATAATTATCGGTTTTAGTTATACAAATTCTCCATATAATTTTTCAAATTTAGAAATACGTACATTGCAATTCAATTGTTTATTATAATTTGATTTTTGTTTTAAAATTGAAAATTGTTAATAATTTGTACACTACTTCTGTTATTTTAAAATAGCTTTCCAATCTAATATCGATTCAAGTAAGAACGATGGGTACAATTTTAACATTCTCCGTGTATTAATATTTTGAATGTTAAATGCACGGAAAATAAACTTTAATCTCAAATTTTTAGAACAAATTTTAGAAATTTTAGAAGTTTTGGAAGAACTGAGGAACAAGTTTTAAAGGATATTAAGGAATTTGAGAAATTCTTTGATTTAAATAATTGAGCATTTATTAATAATTCAGGTAATAGTCGGAAGAGGGAACGACCTCGTGTTTTGAAAAATTTAAGTTTTTATGTTAATCTACGGAATACTTGAAAGTAACTGCAACTCTAGTAACTTTTATCGAAATTATAATTATTTTTCCAAATATTTTGCAAAATAAAAAAAATTCTAAGCGCGCCCTTTTCAACGCAGCTTCAATTAGTCATTGCATTCACCTCTATTTTTTTCATTATTCAATTATTCGATGGTTTTAAATTCTGTAAAAATATGTATTTGTAACAGTATCAATGTTGAAAGAGATTAATCCAAAGCTTTTGAAAGCTATCATCGAAATGATGACAGTTATCGAGATTCGTCGAAAACAAAAATATCGATATTTAGATTAAATGTATACTCCATTCAATCGATGTCATGTGATATTAAATTTTCATTGGAAAACGATTTTGGCGCCAATCAAGGCTAAACGTTTAACTAACAATCGGTAAGCGCATTTTATTTTTCTTAGATCGCGAAAACGAATACTCATACTTTTCATTTTTATTTTTTATCCTTTATTTTCCCATCTTGGTTACGTGGATTTAGAGATATATCCAAGATTCAACAATTCCAAATGAGATGAACATTTCAGACGGAAAGGTGGAAAGGAGGAGAGAGAGAGATAGAAAGAGAGAGAAAGAGATCGGCGGTGCGCCTAAGCTTTCTCATTGCCGAGAGGAGTTAGCTTTTCTCAGATCCCTTCAGTGATACTTGCTTGAAGGACCAGTTGCTCAGTAGATTGGTTCCTTGGTTTAAGAGGTGTATCAGGACAATGGAGAAAGAGAGAAATAGAGGAAAGGAGAACCGATATGTCGTTCCTTTTATCCCTGTAAGCCAAATGTAAATGAACTATCTAAAGAATGACTTTCAGCGAGCGTTATATCTCAACAATCTGCTTAGTGTTATTTTGTCTCTCTACTCAACTGTTAAGAAATTCGCCATTGATATACCAATAGTTCAGTAATTTAATTGAGACAAGTAAGAATTATTTTGGACGAGTGTTGCCAACAAACACACTATTTTGAAGATTTCACAATGTGTGAAATTAGTGAATTTTCACCGGCAGTAAATATTCCCAGCATTTATTCACTCCAGTTTTCTTAGATCGTGATACGACGCGAAAATGAGATGAGATAGGCATAATATCGTCGCATGTGAAAAAAATAAGATTTTCACGATGCGGCGTTAGCATAAAAAATAGGGGATGCAGGTGGATCAAAGCGTCACGTAATAATCTTGCGAATAACGGCGTGAAAGATCACAGTCTTTTAAATAAAGTTTCCAATAGTTTGTAAAACAGAATGCCAGTTATGATATTTTATTTTATGGTATCTTATCGATGTCTTAACAATCGTTGACACGCTACTTTTATTATTTACGAGTTCCATGTTGTTTGTTGGTCCGTTATTTTCGTTAGCGATGTTCGTTTCAGAGATGCGAAAAGAAGGAGAGAATCGGCGTGAGCGCGGGCAACGTTTAATACGAAAATTTTTCTCTCGGAAATTTAGCCGGATTATGGGAATTATACATCCTCGAGGTAGAGCGCGACTTAATCCGTATGAAACACGATGGCAGACCGGGATTAAACGTCCCAAGTATTCTGGCGCCGCTGTCACACGCGCCGGCATGAAATTCTGAGATTTTTTCCGGAAAACGCGCGTCTCTCTTCCGAATTACTTTTCCCTTGGTTCTAAAAATTGTTGCTCTCTTGGCTCTAAAAATTGTACGCAGTTCCTCGAGCATGCGTGTGTCACTTGATTTAACTTTGCTTTCTTTCTGTTTATTTCATGTTGCTGTATGTGTTATGTGCAAATATACATATACATAAATTATTTAAGAGAAACAATAACTTGAGATTAAAGTCAATAAAACGTACGTCGAATAAAATTGGCGTGTTAGAATGTTATTGAAATAACTTTCTATTATAAAAATACGAGAACTAAAATAGAATGTCTGAATATTTTCCTTTAACAATTAAATTAAAATAAAATTCACAATTATCGAAAACAATCGCAGATAAATACGATTAAAGTTTGAACGCTTATGAATGTCGTGTTTGATAAACTTGCACATTTGGAGAATATATCGTTCGCCGTAAAAATGGTGCACCAGGCGTGCGCCTGTTTTTCACGGATATTCCGACTTGCAGTTTATAGTGGTCACGTAGTTCAAAGTATTCGAGCAATGTTTGCGGCAGCGTTCTACGTTCTCGAATGTATTTTCACGGATGGTAAAAGTGGCGGGAGTAAATATACAGCGGGGCTTTTTATTACCACCTTGAGAAAGCAATGCACGTTGGTATATCTGTGTTCTGTTAGCGGTGTTGTTTTATGAAATATTGTAACCGAATGCCGGTAATGAATTCCATTTCTCAGAGTTTTATACGCGATACTTAAAACTTAAAACAAAATATCGTCTTTTGAAGAAGTGAATTTCATGCATTGCGAAGAAATAGAAAAGTTATACTTTCTTTGCCGTTCACGGACAAAAGGCTGAAATATTAATTCAATGAATACACATATATGTAAAAAACGAGAAAAAAGTGAATATTAGAAGAAAAAATATTTGAATTTAATTGTAATTGTGTATGTGTGTTATCATGATTATATATTTATTTAAATAATAAACAAGTAATTGTGTTCATTAGCTACGATATAGCAATTTATGCCATTTCTCCGCTGTTAGATTAATTCTGTCTTATTATTAAATTGCTTTGCATTAGCGTTCGCACGTTGTACGTTCCAAATCGACGCGTCATGAGGGTAGCTCACGCAGCGTGCGAGAGGGTGTTCCATGCTCGTTGTTTTTTCAGCACGTCTGTCAGTTCGAAACGTGCGAATATTCTCTCTCTCTCTCTCTTTCTCTCTCTCTCTATCTTTTTGATTATTCGCATATTTTATACTGATTAAAAGCACATAATGAGTACGAATTTTTGCCGGGAGTATCAATTAAAAAGATGGGCGATTACCGGCAGAATGTATTATCGCTGATCGTTTCTGAGTGGCGTTTTGTTGATCATCTAGTGAAACTTTGCATTGAAATATATTATAAAATCTCAAATATGTTCAAAAGAATCAAAGCACGGTGTATTTTTTGTTGCATTTTTTGTTGCAAGTTTAGCTCGTTGAAATTCGAGGAAATAGATTGTTGCTTGTGCGCGTGTTCGTACGACCTTTGTTATCTTTGTCACTCTTATTAGATAGCTTATTTTGATCGCTCGTCTCGTTCGTTCAAAGTACAGTATTGAGCGAACCGCGGAACGGGTAGGATCACAATAATCGTGTCGAATGATTATTGTGTATGTGTTTACGACGCAAAATACGTTTTACTTCGTGTTTACGTTTCGTATATCGCGGCGTGTCAATCTGATTGTTCGTGTTTCTGCTCGTAATTTTTACATTTTTTTCGAAAGTGAAAATACGGGTTCTTGCATTTTATGAACGTAATTAACAATAAGTGCAGGTTTTCGGTATTTATCACTTCTGCAATAGAGCCGATGCAAAATAATCTTCGTAAAGCGGAATCCGCACCGGGAAACAAACTGCAATATTCTAGCGGGTGAGCGCAATTATTTATTTGCTATTTAAATATATACGTAATTATAATATTACGCATGTAATAGCAATTTGATTTATTAAACATTTATTAAAAGATATTTTAAAATGTTTATTAAAATATTTATTAAATGTTTGTAAAAAATATTAAAATATCTATCTATTCACGCAATTTATTGCGTATAATTATGTACACTTCATCAACATGAAAATAATTATATTCCACATAATAATTGTATATAAATTGTATATAAATGTATAACAATTTATAATAATTAAAATTAATGTTTCAGGTGCAGCTGAAGGCGTACTTAGCTAGGGTACAACGACCGGTAAGTACATAAAATATTGATATAATTTATTCGTCTTTTATCCGCCGATAATTAATCCGTTCACGAACGATGATGAGTGATAGTTACGATAAAGATACGTTTTTTGATATCGGTGCATTTTTTGTTTATTTGCAAGCTAAGTGTTTTAAAATATCTCCTTGTCTCCCAAAGTAAAAGTTTAATGAAACAGAACGATATCTTTTTATTTTAATTTACACGTAATTTAAATGTCTGTCATGCGGATAAATATCGCGTAGCACATCACATTTTTCTTTACGGTTGAAAGGGAATTTGCCACAAGTCTGTAAAAAGATTGCCGAAGATTTTATCGGCGCGCTCGCTCATTCGAGGAAGAAAACGTTCATCTTTCTTTTCCTCAGAATTCTCGCGATTTCTGCTCGATCGTTCGCAGGCACTAACTTATCAGAAGTAGCCAATCTAGCGAATAACTGGCTTTCGAATCAAGTATTGCTACCGACACGGTCTCGGCAAACCTTGTTCCTGTCGACAAGAAACGAAATCCATTACACGTAACGTCGATAGACTTGAAGTGATGTATAACTACTTCATTTGCAATGCGATCCTCACCGAATTTTTCAACATTTTGGCTTTATTTTAATTTCAACATTCTGACTTTATCTTTTCTTTATGTAATAAAAGTCGTATAGAAATTATAGCATAGCATAATTTTTTAATTATTTGTAACATCATTTTTTAAAACGTTCATAACAGTACATAAATTTATAATTACTATATATTAAAAAAACTAATAACTATGTACATAGTGAATATTATTTTTTCAATTTTACAAAAACAATTAAGATTTAACTAATTGGGCGAAATAAACTTTTGTTTCGTACTTGCTAAATTTGCTGTTTGATGTTATGAAATCGTACCATTAAGACGGCTTTAACTAGTCATTTTGGCGAAACCAGTTCTATTCAAGCATGTAACGTATTCGTAGATGCGAGTGCTTCACCAAAACGGATTGTACGGCGAAACGGGTCGCCTAAGCTCGGCGATTGCGAGGAAGGGTCAGCTTCTACCCGAAGCTTTTCCACGAAGATACTTGGTTGAAAGACCAGTTACTCGGTAGATTGGCCGCTCGTGCTAAGTAAGTGCACTACGATGATGGTGGGAAGAACGAGAGAGAAAGATAAAGCATTTTCTTTTCAAAAATACGGAAGAGAGAAGTGCCCGACGAGTTTTCTAAGAAATACTGAGAGAACGCTCCGGTTCTCTACATGGAAAACGAACGGAGAAATACTCGTCGGTTCAATCGTTCGTGAAAACGAGGAAAATTAGCGGCGAAATGAATATTTTATGAATCACCGTTGCATATATTAACTCATTATTATATACACACTGCCCAAAAATTTTTTACTCTTTAATTTTTATGATAAATTTTTGGATATCAAGTTAATTTTTCTTACAATCAGTTGAAACGTATAATATCGATTAAAAATAAAGTGTACTTATAAAAAATGGAACACGACGCAAGCGATTTAGTAAAAAAAAAAAAAAAATACGAGTATCACAACTTATATTCTACTCAGCATGAATTATGTGAAAAGTTTCGCGTTTTGCACTGAAATAATTCGGCGGACGCGCCAAATTTTTTCGACTTTTCTTCTGGCTCAATTCGTTCAGCGACATTCGTGACGCGGCAAGAGTTCTCCGTTTTTACGGCGTTCTCGAGTGCCCACTCCGGTTTAATTGAGTTCGTTATATTCATTTCCGGAGGAACGCTTGATGCACTCTGCTCGCGTACCTCGCGTGTGTTCGCGACTGCTCTTTCGTCGTCGGTGTTGCTACGTTTGAATGTAACATCCTCGGTTACTCGGAGATTTATAGTGGGACCGAGCAGGATAAAATTCGCGGTAATACCACATGTGATGGACGAAAAAGTTCCACAGGAATAATCGACTCGGTCTGGACTTAATAACATTCCGTATGATGACAGAATTTTACTTTTATATTCTGAGATATGTGTTTATATTCTGATATTTAAAAGAATTTTAGAAATATAATAGATTTTTTCATATTACATCTTAGTCATCTTAATGGTATTTATCGTCTTTATTTCAATTCTTTCTAAGCTTTTTCGAGTCGTTTCGAGATTCTTTGAGTCTTTTTCAATGCGCAACACATTTGCGCAAGTATATATTAGTAATATCTATGAAATCGCAAAATGAGCTTTCCTTCAAGAAACCATGCATCAGTGCTTGAGAACTTGGAATTGCCATGTTCAGTAGGTTTTCGGGTTGCGGGTGTCTAATATGCTTGCCCCCCCGGGTTCGTTCTGTCTCCGTCGTCTTCGTGCATGATATATGCGCGGATGAGCGGCAACCCGTGCGCCGCCAACCGACGTAACTATTAGAGGTCGGAGTTCAAAAGCACGCGCGTGGGCGCTGCTCCCCGGACTAGTTGTAGGTTGCCGATAGTACGTTGCGCATTGTTAGTAGTAAATGCTCGCCGTCTCTATGAGACCAGACAGCGAGAGCCAATCATTCCGGCATTATTGCCGCGCGATGGGAAGCGGGGAAGGGGAGAAAGAGAAGGCGGAGGGGTGATAGGTACGCGAATCCATTTAATAGAGAATCTATATACATTACGGATTTACCAAACAATAATTCGGTAAGCTTTGCTCGCTGGTCCTGAATCATCCTGCGCCACCTCGCAATCTGCCGAAGTCGCACTTCGCATCGCTGCCTGTTGCCAATTCCGGGGCGAATCGACGCGAACGCGAGCCGATTCAGGATTTTCATATTCCTCCCCCCGCTGTTATAGATCGGATTTGTGCGACTTCACCGGCGAGTGCATTAAAGGATACCTGCAGCCTCGCGTGGCCGTAAAATTTCGGATACCGTTTAGCGTTTTACTCGTTTTCCGGTGCTTTGTGTAAAAGTCGAGTTCCGCTTACTGACGTGAGAAACACTGGAATATATTTTACGAGATAACGCAATAGGATTGCGTTTCCATTTTATTGCGGAGGTTTAATTAAGCGGAATGTAATTATTTTTAATCCTTTTTGCATCTTTGGCATACCACGTATATTTCCACCCTGTACTTCTATTACATATTTCAATTTAAAACAAAATTTAACAAAGTTGTGATAAAACACGTTGGCTCTTAATTCGAAGCTCAAAGTTTTAAAGCTTTCATATAGTGAATAAAAGTCTTAATCTGCACGAGTAATGTTAATCCTGAAATTTACATCATTGCATTCACTCGACAAATATTCCACCATAAAAAAAGAAATGAGAGTAAAGTGTTTTCACCGTTTGTTGCGCAAACAAGGTCGAGGTATAAAGTACAGTGTTAACGAAGTCGGAGGAAAGAGCGCTTCTACTTTATTATAAGAAGGATTGATGATATTTAGAATAAAGAGATTAATATTAATCTTACTAGATCGTACTAAAACCTTCCGCAAGAGGAGATTGTGTGTTACACATTTTTCTTAATAAACTTTATTAATTATCTGTAAAGTTTTAAAGTGTGACACGGCTTTTCAAAATATTAAGTATCTTAGCAGAAAGTTAAATGGCGTGTTTAAAACGCAGTTTGCCGATCCTCAATCGGGCCGCCGATTGTTCTAAATTTATATCTTGCAACGCAAATTCAATAATCTTAATTAAGGTTGTATCTGTTTTGTACCGAAAAACTTGCGAAAATCTTATTTCAACAATTCAGTCAAAAGAAGTTCTAAACGCCGCAGAACGACTTCGAATTCGCGTCATTCCATTTTTCATATAACAGCATGTCGATAACCGCGACGAATTTATTATTGGGATATTCGATGTCGGCGGATGTGACGTCACGCCGAACATCTGAGAAAGAGATTATTCAACGTTTCGTTCGCAACATCGGAAATGCACGTCTCTTTTCGGTTCCTCACAATTTTTTATAAAATTTTCACGATTTTTTGTACAGATTTTTATAGCAATGTTAACTTAAATAATATTCGTTGAATGATTGTATTTTTAAAGTATTTTATTGCGATTTGATACTTTATAACTTTATCATAGATTATCTTCTTCACTATCTTCACTTTAAATTTATAAAATGTTTTAAAATGAACAAATTGTAAAAAATATTTTATTTTTTATTTTTAGAAAACGAAATGTGAAGTTATCATTATAAATTCGAGCGTAGCTACCTTGTTTCCTTTTTTAAGGTTAACAATTTCAACAGCTGACTTTCATTTGCAGCGCGAAATTGTGAAAATAATTTTAGCGAGTATGTACTCGAGACCATAAATAAATGAAGTTGAAAATTGGCAGCGTATGATCGACAAATCCAAATGTTAGTTTCATATTTGTTTTACAGATTGTTCGCGTTTTTGGTTTTTTGCGTTTGTTCTCAAATCGGCAATTCGATTGATGACTTGAGCCACTGTGCGGATGCAGCGTTTACAGTTTATTCGTCATAAAAGCGCGACGTGAATGTGCGCCGTTCTCACGCCAGTCATATAAAATACCAATTCCGCCGTAAAATCGTACGTTTATCGTTTTATCGTCGCGCGGGGACGTGACGATGGTTTCGAATTTCACCGACGATCAGCAGTTCGCAGATTCTCTGACCCTTTGGAAATCTTTCGTAAAATTTAAAAGTATTGGAAGTTTTCCATTCTGAAAATATGAAAATTGTGTAATTTAATACTGTTACTTTAATTACGTTATTAAATTATTTCTTCGTGTACGACTTTAATAGCCACTATGAATAAAAAACAACTCTGAGAAGTTCAATAATCATTAATTATTTCTTTAGTTTAATGCATTATCTTTAATTAATATTTTATATTAAGCATTCTTGCTAAGAATATAAGGTCATTGTAACATTACGCCTCAATTAGCGAGACTACGAATACTTGAATCAACCAACGTTCTCGACGATATTACGCGTGGATGAAAATGTCTGACAGCGACGACAAATGTTGCGACGCGGTTTGCTCGTGGTACCGATTTCATGAAGTTGTAACTCGAACGTGCGAGCCAACA